TCACCCAAACCCCAATACTTTTCTCAATAAAAGTCACCTTCAGAGGATTTTCTTGAGGAAAAATGGGGAGCTTTTTGACATGAAATCAGCATATTACAAGAATTTTGAAGTTGTCCTGCCTTGTTAAGGTGCAAAGTGACTTTTGTCATTCTAGGAAGGAACTTGATATTCATTACAGGTAATCCTCAATTTACAACCTATTTGTTTAGTGACCGTTCAAAGTTACAACAGCACTGAAAAAAGTGACTTAGGACCTTTTATCACACTTATGACCGTTGCAGCATCCCCATGGTCAGGTGATTAAATTTCGGATGCTAGCAACTGGCATGTACTTTTGATGGTTGCAGTGTCCTGGGGTCATGTGATCACCTTTCGTGACCTTCTGACAAGCAAAGTCAATGGGGAAGCCAGATTCACTTCTGAACATTGTTAGTAATTTAACTACTTCAATGATTCACTTAACAGCTGTGGGAAGAAAGGTCATAAAATGGGGCAAAACTCAGTTAACCACTGTTTCATTTAGTAACAGAAATTTTCGGCTCAATTGTGGTCATAAGTTGAGGACTTATGACTACAGATTTCGGATCTATAATTTGCTGCCAAGCAAAGAAATGGGTAAAACATAAAAAACTAACTTCTTGTTGTTTTTATTTTTAATACAACTATTTCATTTTCTTTTAAAATTACAAACCAATATATTTTTGCATGCTGGAGTAGATTACTGATGAACAAATACACATCATATATTGTACTTGGCTGGTTTCAATTCCTTTTAAAATTTATAAGCACAAATCCACCCAAATTTCTAATACTGGTGTGTGTATTAAGTTAGGATACTAATATCTCAATTAATCTATTTATACTGTCAATCTCTGAAAAATATTTCAGTATTAGTACAAAATACATTGAACTAGAAAAAGTCAATTCATATTGTTCCCATGTTCAGAAGGGATATTTGTATTTTATTCAGAGCAGATTAATTTACTACCATTATTAATAATTCTGAATTACTTTCTGGTCTTAGAAACCCAACCCTATTTAAAATTAACCTTATAATTTTCAATTAGCATGTGACGTTCTGTTTGTACTTAGTGTAAAATCATAAATGACCCCATTTAGAAAAATGAACACAAACTTTAATTGCATTAAGCTAAGAAAATCTTATAAGGAAAAATGTCACTTTTAAATCCCAGCCAAGTCTCTTCGTGTCATTCAGCTAACATCAGTAGGCAAACAAACATAACCACACTTCAAGTTACTGTTCAAAGCAGAGGAAGTTTGGAATAAACGAACTTTTGTTCCTATAACGGTGCCTTAGGGACTGAGATTTATAATCATAAAAATCAAACACTTTTTTTAGCCTTTACTCTCATTTCTATGAAACTTTTGTTTTAAAATGTCATGGGATCAAAAATTAAAAGTTTAAAAAAAAAAGATTTTAACAATCAGTGATGCCAGAATACAAATTGTACCAACCTACAATATAGTACAATAATTGAAAACTGTTTCAGGGGTTACATGGGACTTTTCAGTTTAGTCTTGTTTTACTTTTTAAAAAATGAGTTTAGTCACTGAGATGAAAATCTATTTGGAAACATAATGTTAAAAACAGACTATCACCATATTAAAGAACTGGGTATTTGCAATCTGCAGTTATTCATATAATTTTACAAAATTCACATTTTTTTAAAATTGTGTCTGCTTCTTAAATATGCCTACTTTGACTTATGACCGATGAAACATGACCTACCTGAAAAAGAATACTTCATCCAAAGTTGCAATGGTCATGTGACCAGTGACTACTCTTTGCCACTTAGGAACATGGCTGCATTTACAACCATTTTCAGCAACCCATGATCACATGATTGCAATTTACAATGGTTTTGCTAAAAACGGACACTTCTGGTTTTTTGGCAAAACCTTACCTATAGCAAACAATGGGTCCATGTTTACAATGACCACAGTATTTGCACTTACAAAGAATGACCAGCATTGTTGCGTAATAATGCCCACTGCAAAAAACATAGTAAAATCAAGTTGGTCACATGACTGGTTCATTTTTACAATTGTCACAACATACAATTGCAGTGGGCACTTTCCATTATGGTTGTTTGTTGAGAATTACCTGTAGATCAGGATACCTGCATAGCTTTAAAACTCTATATCGAATGGGCAACCTATGTCTCTCTAGACATTAGTGAAGCATCTTGTAATAGCAAGTATATTCCTGACAACAAGAAGATTTTGTCTTTTGTTCAGAATTATCTTCCTTTTTGGTCAATATAGTACTGTAGTTTAAATTTGTTTCCTTCACCATTGGCAATACTACTAGAGCAGGGATATCAAACTCGCGGTCCAGAGGGTGGGTGCATCATGTGTTGGCCCCTCCCACCCCCAATTTAGGGAAGAGGGAAAAAGTCATGATATGTTACATGATGGGAACATGACGATGCGAGTTTGATACTCCTGTACTAAGACCTAAGACCTGCATCAAGACCTCACACAGCAATCTAAGGCATCCCCAAGTTAATAGGACAGTGCATAGCTGATAATCTCCCAAAAACCTACAAAATTGTCCTTCATTCTGTGTGATCCTATATCACTTTTATAAGACAGTTGTAAATCTATTTTTGAGAGAATGTGAGCAACAGTTATAAATAGGTTTTTCCTGATGCTTGAAAAGAATGTAAATGTAAAAGAGATGTCAGCAGAACACAAAGTGACGAGATACTATCACTGATGCCATAAAAGTACATCTTTACAAGTCAAGGAAGCGGCAATCCCATAAACTAATGTCCATTGGGTCACAAAGAATCACCAATGACTGCACAAATGAGCAACAAACCAATTCCAGCCTTGCAAGAAGAGACAATTAAAGGGAAATTAAGTCACTGTTATTTTCTCATCCTCTTATTCAATGTGGGAT